TCCTATGGGGTGAAAAAAAATGGGACATGGCTGTTGTTTGCTAGGGATGGAGAAGAGCCATCTACAGCACTGAAATCCATCACTTACGCACTTCAGATCTCAAGCATCAGGCTTTGATGTGCAGGTAATAGTGGCAGGATGTTTTTCCTTCTGCTGATCAGGAACACCTAAGACCATTAATGGTTTATTTAGTCCCTTCAAAGGGGTAAGGGGACCAGACTTGCTTGGTATGACTTGCTTTGCCCATGCCCTAGGCAGTTGCTGAGCACAGCCAGATGTGAACCCTGGCAAATGAGACATGTTTCCAAGAGGGCTGGAAGGGTCCTTGCCACTCATCTAGGTCTGGGATGGAGACAATGGAAAGAGCAAGGTGACTGAGAGTGCCATCATTAGTAGGATGGGGAATACACATCAGTTGGCCTGCCTCTGCAGCAATCACCAACAGGCCGTGTCCTGAGGGCAGTGGGAGCTTTTAAAGGGGAAATATCCGTGGCCCTGAATTCTTTTCTCCTCTGGTCCTTTTCTGCATTTTCCATCCAAGCTGGATGCCTGGGACAAGGTCTTGTAAAGATCCAGGCACGGGAAAGCCTCCTGCAGCACAGGAGGATGCCGGGGGGACTTGGGGCAGGCTGGGGGACATGCCCTGGATGGGGGTAACATGCGTGGGCTGGGGAGGTGACACCACCGGGCTGGGGTGCTGTGCGGCTGGGGAGCGCCAGGGGCTATGGGGGTTTCGGAAGCACAGTGTGGAGGAGAGGAGTAGTTTGAGGGCAGTTGCACAAGCAGGGGTAGGGCTTGAGCCCTCACCCTCCTCCTCTCCAGTGAAGATCCGCCCCATGGCAAGCACACAAGCCCCAAGGGAAACAACACAGCTTGACAGACTGTATCTCCCTCTGCCACGGGCCCCAGGGCACTGTGATTTCACACTCGGGCGGCCCCTTGGCCGACACGCCAGGCTCTCGCTCCCACTCCGCCATGTCCTCCTCAGGAAAAGCCGTCTCTGCCTCCTCCTGCCTCTCCTCCCAGTGCTTCGACCTCCTGACCAGGTCCTGCGTCAAGTGCTCCGACCTGTTCAAGGAAAACACAAGTAAGGGGACAAGGGCGGATGGGGACTGGCCATGGTGGTGGCCCAAGAGGGCTGGGGGCACCCTGGTGTGGGCAGGTGAAGGGAACCTTGTCCTGCAGATGGCAATTGAGGGATGATGGAGGATGGAGCGCTGCCTTCACCTGGAAGGGGAAGGAGGAGGAGAAAGGAAAAGGGCAGCCAGTTCCAGAGAGGGGGATGCAGTACAGGGAGAAGGAAAATGATCCAGCCCAGTGCAGGGTCACAGCCTGCTGCAGGGGTGACCACGGGAAGAGCAGGATGCCCTCAGCTCCCACCAGCCAGCAGGTGGGATGAGGGTCCTGTCAGGCAGGGGGACAGTTCACTGTGGGTGATCAGTGGTGAAGAGCCACTCTCCTTCCCCGCCACTGCAGATGGGTGGGTAGTGCTACTGCCCTCCTGCCCTCTCCCCTGCTCTCCCCTCCCTGACACTGCTGGCATCTCGCCCCACAGCAGAGCCCACCCATGTGGTGCTCACCTCAGCCCTGGAGCCCACTCTCCCCGCGACAGACCTGCCCAGCACCTTCCTCACCTTCGGGGTCGTGGCAGCAGTGGTGTTCGTCCTGGTCCTGACCACCCTCTTGGGCTTCCTGGTCTGCAAGCTGGGGAAGTGGAGGAGGAAGAGGAAGGCAGCAGATGAAGAGGCCCAAGGTAGGGGACCTCTTGCTCTCCCTGTCACAGCACCCTGAGGACCCCAGGGCAGATGGAGTTACTTGCTGCTGGCTCCCCTGAGGCACATCCCTGTCGAGGATGGCTTCTCCACCTCGACACAGGCTCCATGGGCATCCTGGAACATTCCAGGGCAGCTGAATTACCCCCTGAGCGACAGCATCGCACATCCTCCCTTGGAACACATACCTGCACCTGGCTGCCAGCGCAACCCTGCTGAAACATCTCTCCCTTTGCCGGGTACATAAAGCACCTTCTGGCACCATCCCCTCTCCACAGGGTACCCATACAGAGCTCGACACAGGCTCCATGGGCATCCTGAAACATTCCAGGGCAGCTGAATTACCCCCTGAGCGACAGCATCCCACATCCTCCCTTGGAACACATACCTGCACCTGGCTGCCAGCGCAACCCTGCTGAAACATCTCTCCCTTTGCCGGGTACATAAAGCACCTTCTGGCACCATCCCCTCTCCACAGGGTACCCATACAGAGCACTGGCGAGGAGCCTCCCTCCCAGTAGCAGGAGGGCCATGGATGGGTCAGGAGCTGTAGGGACAGTGGTGGACATCCCTAGAGGGAGCCTCTCCCCATGGCACTGCAATTGGAGGTCCTTTGTTGATTGCCCAGTTTGCC